ATATATATATATGTATGTATGTATGTATGTATGTATATATATATATATTATTTTTTAAAGCAGTTAAAAATATTATTTCTCTAGCATTTTCTGTATAAAGAATTTAATTGTCTAATTTAAAATGATATATTGAGACAAGATTTTCATAATACAAGTGTTTATGTGTTTAATTTTAAAATAGAAGTTTGAGTCATATATGTCACATGAATATTTAGCGTAAGATACCTTTATTTTTTATGGAACTAGCTTCAAAAGAGAAATTTCAGTAAAACAATATTTGTGCACATGAAATCGGTGGGTGGCATACTGGCGTAAATCTTTTCCCCTTACTAATTTAAACCACGAAAAAGGACATAGAAACAGCCAACCAAAGGCTCCAGACAAATGAAGTCACCTCCCTCTTCATCTCCTTCTTCCTCCCTTCTTCTCAGAAAAACTCGTCTTTCTCCTTTTCTATTCACTTTATTAGCCGTCATTGTCTTCATTGCTGTTATTCTTTACAGTGAAGTCTTCAGCCAATGTGATACCAAACTCTATGGCCTTCGCGTTTCCATCTCAAGAATCAGTAAGTAATTAATTCAAGCCCTTCACCTTCCTTTTCTCTTTTATATTTAAGGCTTAGAAGAGTTGTCATTGTATTAATGAATTTAACTTAATGTAAAAGATTTTACATCCTTATCGTGTTACTTACCTTATTTTGCAGTTATATTAATGCCATATATTATGGACAATTATCCATAGTTATCTTTTAGACAATGACTGAACCACGTGCAATGAACTTCATCGGAGAGATAGGATAAAATGTTGTTTTTTCATAAATATATTTTTGAATTCCTTTAACACGCAGAAATGCATTTTCAAATCTCAAGTGTGACATTTACATATATTATTTTGAACTCACTGATACGAACATGAAAGCAAAATAACAAGAACACAATAAAATGATAGAAAGATAGAGATTTAGTAGAGAACCAACTAAGGAATTTGAAAGAACATTTGAAATAAACAAGTATCCAATCAATTTAAGACTTAATTGACCCAAAACTATAGGAACAACCCTCAAGGGGAAGGAATCCCCTTGCAAGTTCACATTAACAGATAATCAACCAATATAGAAATTCGTCCTAAACACTTTCAGTGAGTTTTCATTCACAATATCAAAATAAGCTAATCCTAATATGAGAGCCTTAAGGGCTATTAATAGTAGAGAGCTAAATATTACAAATATAGTCACCAAATGTAATATACAGTCTTCAGTTGTTTGTGAAATTATACATGTAGCCGCGCCATGAAAGTGGCCTCCAATGCTCGATGGCTATTCAGATTGTATCACTCTCCTATCAGAATTACTGGGTAAATGAATATATAAAAATTAAACTCTGTATTAAATTCTGTGCACGGTGAACTGTGTTTTGAATTATTTTGTGGTGGCAGTAAAAAACAAGGAGAAGTTGCCATTTGCTATAGGAGAAAGAGAAGAGGGGTGTGACGTGTTCAAAGGAAGGTGGGTTTGGGAAAAGAGCCGACCTTTATACGGGGAATACGAGTGTCCTTACATACAACCACAGTTAACTTGCCAAGAACATGGTCGTCCAGACAAAGACTATCTGCATTGGAGATGGCAACCTCATGCTTGCTCTCTTCCTAGGTAACTCACTTACTTTGTTTCTGTCAATTTATTATTAAATTTCTTGTTTCGTTTAAAGTATTATAAACTACTGATCTTGACCAACATCCCATTTAGTTAAATCTAAATTCTCAATCTCGAGACCTATTTCCCGCTATTGTAGTCTTTTCATCACCAAGTTAATTAAAGGTAAAAACTTTTTTATTTGCTAGATATAAGGTCAAGGAGATATTATTAGGAGGATGCCCAAGGGTGTGGTTTAGCTATTAGTACTTAGAGGGTGTTTGGCTAAGCTTATAAACCGGTCAAACTAGCTTATAAGTACTTTTTGGCTTATCTATGCGTTTGGTAAAATTAAAAGTGCTTATAAGCCAAGTGCATAAGTCAAAAATAAGCCAAAAGTCATAAGATGATCACCCCCTGCTTATGAATTTTTAGCTTATAAGCACTTTAAGTTTGACCAAAATTTTTACTATTTTATCCTCACAATATTCCTTTTTAGAACAAAATTCTTACATCAATACTCACTGCCTCAAGTATTTTTTCAACCAACCCCCACCCCCAAGTCTGTAATTCTCATTGATTATTTAAGATAAGCAAATTCTCTATCCCTTTGCATATTTGTATCTATGTGATTGTGTATCATTGAACTGTATGTAATAAATAAGGACATATCAAATTTTTTGCGTATTGTTTTCCAAGTGTTGTGATGGTGAAGCTAGTGTTTGTTTCCCTTCAAAAATGTTGTCCTATTTAGGTTTGTTTTTTACTGATAAACTTTTATCAATTTATTAATTATTATAACTTATGATTATATGCTTATCATAAAATAAGTTCTATTTATCATAAAAAATATCTAAGCACGTGTGTATTTTAAATAAAATGACAAATAAAATATTTTGTATTTGAATCGATCTGGAATCTAGAATGTTGAAAAAATTATGCCCTTATAAATGTAAACAGTTCTAAGGTTATTTAAGTCATTTTAACAGAGCTTATCAGCACTTTTTTATCAAATACTGCAACAACTCATTATCAATTTCAGCACTTGTATCCAAGCACGTAACTGCTTATTTATTAAATCAGTTTCAACACTTAAAAGTGCTTTTCAGCACCTAATGCTTATCAACTAGTTCAAATCAGCTAATCCAAACGGGCTCTCAGTAGTAATGTTTGAATATTTTTTCTCATTTTTTTCTAAGTTTTACAATAGAAAAAGTTATCCTATAGCAACGCCCGATAAAATAGGAGGGGATATCCCGATAAAACAGTAGAGGCGCGGAACAGTTAACTAAAACCCAGCCGGTATAAGAAGTCACACTAGCTAGTACTCCCTCCAGTCCATACTAAGTGACCAATTTACTTTGGGTACACCTATTAAGGAAGTACTAAATTCTAGACAAAAGTAGTTAGTATGACTAAAGAACCTTTCATTAAATATTGCAGTATAGTTAATATGAGGAGTAAAAGACTTTTTAGGGATACGTACATGAGGGTAATTTTGGAAAAACAAATTGAATTGTGTCTTGTTTATATAAATGGACACTTATTTTGGACCAAAATAAAAAAGTAAATTGGTCACTTATTGTGGACCGGAGGGAGTAGTATATTAAGTTGGATTCGTTTACGTGTTTGTGCAATAAGTCATTAGGAGTCAACCTGAACTGTGAACTTTGTTGACTACATCCTAATAACGTATAACTATTTATTGTTTACTTCGACCGCTCTATCTGCAATTGCCAAAACGACTCATTGTTCAGAGTTGGTCTTGTTCCTAGACTTGGGCGGTGCCCATTCTAAGCAGTAGCTCTGATCAAATTCGGCCTTTGCGAGATCTTCATTGTATTCTTTTAACTCTTTACTTTTCTAACTTAGTAAATCTTAATACTAATCAGGGAGAAGGGTTAAATTTGCTTCTTTACTATTTCAAATTGAGCAACTTCGCCCTTTATTAAATTATTTGTCCAATATTTATATACCCCGCCATTATTAGGACATGTTCTCTTTTTGTCATTGATCTCGCAATTAAGGAGTTTCAGCACAAGAGTAATATTAAACCAAGTTGATGAGTAAATTTGGACTTCTTTTTCTTGCATAATTTGTGTTGGGCACATGCCCATGTTGTCCGGCTAAAGGCTCAATGGCCTAATCCTATTCTCTTTTGGTTTCAATTTCTATTCGGAATTGGATTCGGTGTTTATTCCTATTTTGAGTGAGTTTTGGCTTTAAGAGAAAGCACCACTCATGATTTATAAATAGGACAACCTTGGAGAATTATTCTATGCTCATTGATACAAGTCTTTGAAAGACTTAAGCACATAAGAGTGACTTTTGAGAGAGCTTTCATCAAGAGAGAAGAGAGAAGAAAAGTATTTGTTTTGCTGCAGTTTTTTTATTCCGGTCAGCCAACTTCAAATCATGTTATCGATTTGTTAACCATTGGATTGGGCTGAAATTTTGACTGAGTGTTTGTAACATCTTGGTCTTGGATTTGAACGGTGGAGATCGAATTTGGAAGCCCGTAGCATCTGATTTCGAGCCTCGAACAGCAGGTTCGTTATTGTGGATTCTCCTCTTTCTTCAATTGATTAGTTGTTGCTCTTGTTGCTATTGTTGCTCCGTGTTTGGCACTTGTTATGTAGCCAATTTGGAGAATTTTTGTAACCCTCTTATTGTTATAGTGGAGCTTTTTGGATCTTTGTGATCCCGTAGTTTTTACCTTCAATTTGAAGGGTTTTCCACGTTAAAATTTGGTGTTCTTTATCTTCTTTATTTTCGGATTTGCCTCTTCCTTGACATAACAGCGGTATCAGAGCCTTGGTTATTTATCCGGGTTGTTACGTAATAGAGGCGAATATGAGCAAGATGGTATGTTTAAATGGGAGAAATTATAATGTTTGGAGAAGCAAGATGAAAGATTTGTTGTTCGTGAAGAAGATGCATCTACCCGTTTTTGTAGCTCATAAACCCGAGAGTATATCTGATGAAGATTGGGATTTCGAGCACCAACAAGTATGTGGATATGTACGACAATGGCTTGAAGATAATGTTCGCAACCATATTGTGAACGAGACACATGCGAGATCATTATGGGAAAAGCTAGAGACTCTTTATGCTTCAAAAATAGGGAACAACAAGTTGTTCTTGCTAAAGCAATTGATGACCTTTAAATACAAGGAAGGCAGCCCTATCCTTGATCACATAAATAATTTTCAGGGCGTCCTTGATAAGCTGTCTGGAATGGGAGTTAAAAGTAGAAGTAAGTCAAGGTCCAAATACCATAATATTACATGCAACCACTGTGGCAAGAAAGGACATATCAAAAGGTTTTGCCGCAAGTTGTTGCAAGACATTAGAGAAGGAAAGAAAGTTGAAAATAACGAGAACAATGTTGCTGATATTGTTCGAGATGACCTTCTTTTTGCTTATTATGAAAACGTCATCAATTTGGTATCCCATGAGACGAGCTGGATAGTAGATTCTGGAGCTACCTCACATGTCACACCAAGAAAAGATTTTTTCTCATCTTATACTCCTGTTGATTCTGGAGTGTTAAAGATGGGCAATGCCAGTGAAGTTACGGTGTTTGGTGTTGGCACAGTTTGTTTGAAAACTAATAATGGTTCAACGTTAGTTCTTCAAGATGTCAAACATGCTCCAGATTTTCCTTTCAATTTGATCTCCGCAGAAAAATTAGGCGATGAAAGTTACCATAATTCCCTCTTTAATGGTCAGTGGAAGCTTACCAAGGGCTCTTTAGTAGTGGCTCGAGGAGTCAAGTATGGTCATTTATATGTGACACAGAGCTCTATTCTTAATGACTCCATAAATCTGGTGAAAAGTGATACTTTATCAGAATTGTGGCATAGAAGATTGAGTCATATGAGCGAGAGGGGGATTACGCGTTTGGCTAAAATAAGTTTGCTTTCTGGAGTGAAACAAGCAAAGTTGAAAAGGTGTATCCATTGTTAGCTGGCAAACAGAAAAGGGTTTCCTTTCATAGCCATCCTCCCTCAAGAAAGCCCGATTTATTGGAGCTAGTACACTCTGATTTGTGTGGTCCTTTTAAAGTAAAGTCAAAAGGTGGTGCACTTTACTTTGTGACCTTCATTGATGATCATTCTCGTAAGCTCTGGGTGTATCCTTTGAAATCTAAAGAGCACTTGGCGTGTTTAAGGAATTTCAAGCCTTAGCTAAGAGACAGACGTGGAAGAAATTAAAATGTATTCGCACTGAGAATGGTGGTGAATATTGTCGTCCCTTTGATAACTATTCCAAGGAACAAGGAATTCGTCATCAGAGAACTCCGCCCAAGACGCCTCAATTGAATGGTTTGGTGGAGAGGATGAATAGAACTCTAGTTGAGAGAGTTAGATGCTTGCTTTCAGAAGCTAAACTTCCAAATACATTTTGGGCGGAAGCACTTAACACTGTTGCCTTTGTTATCAATTTGTCTCCTGCTGTTGCTTTGGATGGTGATGTCCCAGACAGAGTTTGGTTTGCCAAAGATGTTTCTTATGATCACCTGAGAGTTTTTGGGTGTAAAGCTTGTGTGCATATTCCTAAAGATGAGAGATCGAAACTGGATGTCAAAACTAAGGAGTGCATCTTTATCGGTTATGGTCAAGATGAGTTTGGGTATCGGTTTTATGATCCAGTTGACAATAAACTTATTAGAAGTCGTGATGCAATATTCTTTGAAGACCAAACTATTGAAGATATTGACAAAGTTGAGAAGATAGATTCTCAGAGTAATGAGAGCTTAGTTGATAGTGATCCAGTTTCTATTGCTAAGGCACCTATTGCACATGAAGGAACCCAAGACAATAATGGAGATAGTGATCAAGATCAAAATGATCATCATGGTATAGATGCTATGGATGCTTTAGTTGATGAAGTTGTGGTTGATCAGCAACCAATTCCTGCTCATGTAACTACTTCGAATGCTCCTGAAACCTCTCTTAGAAGATCTACAAGGGAGAAGCAAAAATCCATGCGCTATCTTCCTATTGAGTATGTACTTTTGACTGACATGGGAGAACCTGAGAATTATGATGAAGCCATGGAAGATACTCATAAAGATCAGTGGATTGAAGCCATGGAAGATGAGATGAAGTCACTCCATGATAATGGCACATATGAGTTAGTGAAATTGCCGAAAGGTAAGAGAGCTTTATCTAACAAATGGATATTCAGAATAAAGCAAGATAACCATACCTCATCGCCTAAATACAAGGCGAGGTTAGTTGTTAATGGTTTTGGCCAGAAGAAGGGAGTTGACTTTGATGAGATTTTCTCCCCTGTTGTAAAGATGTCTTTTATTCGTGTGGTTCTAGGCTTAGCCGCAAGTCTAGATTTAGAGGTTGAGCAGATGGATGCCAAGACTGCTTTTCTTCATGGTGATTTAAATGAGGAGATTTATATGGAGCAGCCTGAGGACTTCGTCGTTAAGCTTGTAGATAAGCATGCGTTTTGCAGAAAATTGGCAGGCATGAAGCCTATCAATAGTTCCTCTACTTGAAGACACATTTTGCCCCTTGGCTAGAGGGAGAGTTTGTTGGGCACATGCCCATGTTGTCCAGCTAAAGGCCCAATGGCCTAATCCTATTCTCTTTTGGTTTCCATTCCTATTCGGAATTGGATTCGGTGTTTATTCCTATTTTGAGTGGGTTTTGGCTTTAGGAGAAAGCACCACTCATGATTTATAAATAGGACAACCTTGGAGAATTATTCTATGCTCATTGACACAAGTCTTTGAAAGACTTAAGCACACAAGAGTGATTTTTGAGAGAGCTTTCATCAAAAGAGAAGAGAGAAGAAAAATATTTATTTTGCTGCAGTTTTTTTATTCCGACCATCCAACTTCAAATCACGTTTTCCGATTCGTTAACCGTTGGATCGGGCTGATGACTGAGTGTTTGTAACATGCTGGTCTCGGATTTGAACGGTGGAGATCGGATCTGGAGGCTCGTAGTATCTGAATTCGAGCCTCGAACAGCAACTTCGTTTTTGTGGATTCTCCTCTTTCTTCAATTGATTAGTTGTTGCTCTTGTTGCTATTGTTGCTCCGTGTTTGGCACTTGTTGTGTAGCCAATTTGGAGAACTTTTGTGACCCTCTTATTGTTATAGTGGAGCTTTTTGGATCTTTGTGATCCCGTGGTTTTTACCTTCGATTTGAAGGGTTTTCCACGTTAAAATTTGGTGTTCTTTATCTTCTTTATTTTCGGGTTTGCCTCTTCCTCGACATAACAAATTGGACTCATAGACACCACCCATTTCACATCGGAAGCTCGTTAATGGTAAGGGCAAATAGGAGGTGATTTGCTAACATCAAGGTTATGAATGGACCAAAATTTTAAGAGGAGGAATTTTTTTTGCAATTCTGGAAAGTACAAGGCCAAATTTAAGCATTTTCCCTACTAATAACTTTTGTAAATGCTACATTCTATTGTTTCCATAATCATTGTAAGGATGGCTGAGCGTTATTAATATTCTGGTAACATGGCCCTTTCTTGACCAGCGGTGAACTAGGAATTTATCCAAGTGTATTCAAATTTTAAAGTGCAAAAAGAATTCCGACAAAAAGTGTTCAATATATATTATATTTTATCTATATATAACAGTGCAATTCGCCACTGTTCTTCACATCTTTAATTATTGTGCAAATGGCAGTTTCAATGCAACATTAGTGCTGGAAAGCCTTAGAGGGAAGAGGATGTTATTCGTTGGCGATTCCTTGAACAGAGGACAATTTGTTTCCATGGTATGCCTTCTCCAAAGAATAATTCCCGAGAATGCCAAATCCATGGAAACTTTTGGTTCCCTCACTGTTTTCACAGCAAAGGTGTTTACAAATTACAAGCACGTTGAACTTACACATGAATTCCATGGATATATATGTATATTGATCTGATTAATTAATCTTGCAGGATTACAATGCAAAAATTGAGTATTACTGGGCACCATTTCTGCTAGAATCAAATGCCGATGATGCAGTCATACATAGGATTACTGATAGAATTGTCCGTAAAGGTTCAATAAATAAGCATGGTAAAAATTGGAAAGGGGCTGACATAATTGTGTTCAACACTTATCTTTGGTGGATGACCGGCATGCCATTCAAGATTTTGTAATTTCTTGGGCTCGCTTTTTCCTTTTAGGTGTTCATATAGGGGTTGCTATTGATTTTTTTTTTTGTTTTTAAATTCATGTCCAGTGTTTAATTGATTCAGGCAAAAAGGGTCTTTCAAGGATGATGTGAAAGATATGATAGAAGTGTCCACAGAGGATGCATATCGCATGGCAATGAAGAGTATGTTGAGATGGGTGAAGAGGAATATGGATCCAAAGAAAAACAGAGTATTTTTCACTAGCATGTCACCTTCTCATTATAAGTGAGTAAATCATACATATATTCCTTAGGTTCTACTCCTTCCGCTTATACTCCCACCATCTCCTCAGTGACGGACCCATAAATTTTAGAATCATGGGTGCTCATATGCTTTTAATCTGAAATTGCTAATGAGACTGGATGCTAAGCCAATCTATTTGTATGTATTAGTAGTTTCCTATAGAATAAATAAGTCTTTATCAATCTGGCAGGAGCATAGATTGGGGAGGTGAACCTGATAAGAATTGTTACAATGAAACTACAAAGATAGAGGATCCAAGTTACTGGGAATCAGATAGCAGCAAAAGCATAATGCAAGTGATTAGAGAAGTATTTAGTAAATCAGAAGTGCCCATAACGTTTCTCAACATAACTCAGCTATCGAGTTACAGGAAAGATGCGCACACATCAATTTATAAGAAACAATGGAATCCATTGACACCAGAGCAAGTAGCAAACCCTGTTAGCTATGCTGATTGTACACATTGGTGTTTGCCTGGGCTTCAAGATACTTGGAATGAACTTTTATTCACAAAGCTATTTTATCCTTAGACACATTTGAAAATGTTATTAAGCCTAATTGTATTATACAATAAATACCATGCGAAACAGTCTCTGCAGTGTAGATATAATCTTGTAGCTAGCTTGATCAACCTAATTATTAAATCTGCTCCGTTTGTCTATTGAATTTTTAAGCAGCTAAGAATTTAGTCAAACCTTAAAGCAGTTAGGCAGTAGAAATTATACATAATAATCAGAGCCTTGTTTAAGTAGCTAGATTAGGACGATTATCCTGCATTAATACTGTTGCGTTGATCCTCTTTAATTAGAAAGAGCTTTGAGAAGTATGCTAGATCCAATATGGGGATAGTGGCTACATAACATGTTTCAGCTCCTTGAGAAGGCTCTTGCGCCTGCTACCCATTCAAATTTCCTGTTTCACACGTGAAGTCAATTATACTACCCAAAAAAAAAAAGTAATTAGCGTAAGACGAATTCCGTCGCTAAACAACATAATTTAGTAACTAAATCAATTTAACGATGAATTAGCGACGAATTATTATAAAGTCCTGTTAGCTACGGTTGATGTAGCCACAGACTAGCAATGAATTTCATAGCTAGTTATATATTCCTGCTTTTTGGTAGTTAGGGGCTTACTAGTTACTCCATAAGCATTAGCAAATTAATCTCTTCTAATATTAAGCCTAAGAAACTCCTCAAACTCCTTGGCATCCATCGGCTTAGGTCATTCCAACATCATTTCAATCACTTTCGGACCAGTTTGTAGTCCTTCAATCTACAATTAATATGGCCAAGATACTCCACATGTTTGCCCAAAATCATAATTTGATCTTTTGGCATATAATTGATTATCTCTCCAAGTCTACAATACAATTCTGAGATGTTCTAAATGATCAGTCAATGAGCTGCTATAACTAAGGCAGGATAGCACATTAAACATTGCTACAAAGAGGCTAACTGTGTTACTGATGCTTCATATGGGTATGATGGAGAAGGGGATCTTCTTCAGTGAGACTATTTCCTTAAACAACCTTAACGACTGATCAAGATAGCATGCCTAATTTTAGAGTTATGCTCAGAAAGTATCACTTCACCTTTGATCATGGCTGACAATATATAGACTAAACAGTCTTCTTTGAAACTTGCAGGTTGACTAATTAAGAAGAATGGGAATCTACTCAATCATTTGAAGAGCCACAATATTATGAATAGGAGCTATTTTTGGTACAAGGATCATGAGATTTTCATCCATTTTCTAACAGATAAGGGTAAGGGTAGCATTAATAATTATAAAGGGGAAAGTCTCCTTGTTTTAAATTAATAGCTGCAATTGTAAAAGGAGGAATCCTCCTTTAGGATTGTATTAGCTGATGGATTAAGATTGATATTATCAATCTTCAATTGGAACAGAGTTAAGGTTTATGCTCCCTCCATCGTGTAATCATTTTCAATATTAATATACAATGTAGGGGTCCATTCAAACCCACAAAAACCACAGGCCGTTATAGCTTGGGTAGTAGGCTTTTGTTTGATTTAAAAAAAATATACTCCCTTCTTTTCATATTATTTGAGGTAGTTTGACTCGTCACGGAGTTTAAGAAAAAAGAAGAAGACTTTTGAAACTTGTGGTCTTAAAATCTTAAGGGGTAAAAGGTTCGTGGGGCCATGCCATTTGTGTGGCTATAAAAGCGTCTCATTAAGGGCAAAAAGGGTAAAATGAAGAGTTTAAAGTTGAATTATTTCCAAATTTAGAAATGTGTCATTTGTTTTGGAACAGACTAAAAAGAAAAGCACCTCATTTAATATGAAACGGAGGGAGTATATGTATACTAAGGATTGCATTAAAGGAAACCAAGATGACCTTCCTCAAGCCCAAATCCCAAAGGAAACGACAAGGGTCATGCTGTTGAGGGCAATGGCAATGGAAGGGAAAAGCAATGTGGTGGACCTTCGACAAACAAGGGACAAAACAGCAAGTTTGATGACTGTTTTATTTGCAAAGGACCATACATAGCGAGGGACTGTCCAAAACTTGAACGGCTTTCCACTTTGTTTGCTGAAGAAAAGGGTGAAGATGAGCCGAACGAGGAAGAACATGAGCAGGAGGCAGCATATTTGGGGCCTATGTTGGTGCTGAAAAATGCGGAAACTGCTTCGTCGAGGACGACGAATTCTTCGGGTGGGGGTGGTTTGTTAGCGCCTTGACAAGGTTCCTCGCCAGGTGTGGGTTGTGACAAGGATTTTCGTGATGGCCTTGGCACACAACCTGAAAATTGGGGCAACATCATGACGGGCAGCTCGGCATGACGGACTATGAGGGGTGGACAAACACACCTTGAACGGAAGCAAGGCGCATTTCACTTGAACATGCAGGTTGGCATAACAATGGCAAGGCAAAACCATGTCAAAGCAGGGGCAAAGACATGGCAAGACAACGCAAGAAAATGCGGGACAAGCAATGACAATTGATGCGGGCAGATTTGATCAAGTTGGGGGCGACTTGGCATAAGCGGGCAGCTGTGGCAATGAGCGTGTGTGGTTAAGTCAGTGGGCGGCAAGCTGTGGCCATGACATTGGTGCGGAGCAGTGTCAAAGGGCAAGGCTGGGCGCAATGCCAACCTCGGGCACGCAACAGCTGGGCAAAACAGGCATATGTAGTGCACAGGCAGCAGTTGCAAAACGTGTGCAAGGCACATGGGAGGCAGTTAGTGGTTATAAACCACATCCAAAACATGCCTGATCATGGGCTAAAAGTGTGGGCACGTTTTTGTATTTGTCTTAACATGTTTGCCCATCAGTTGGGGCTTGTCAACTGATTGTCTAAATCCCGCCAAGTGTAATTGGGCAGCAACACTATAAATATATGCATAAGCTGTCCCAAATGGGCAGAACTTAGTTTTGTGCATCTTGTTTATCCAAAAACGTCTAAGTTATTTTCTAAGGCTGGGAAAATCGTTTTGGAGAAGGGAACTAGGGTGTTCTTTGTTATTGGCCATAGGGTTGGCTTATTGTGTTCTTGTATTCACATTTTAATACAAGTTGGGGAGAAATTTCTGTAATTTTCGTGTTTGCCTTTTGCATTATTTGCTGCCTAAATCTGTCTAAGTCTCAAACGTTCCTAAAATTGTTCTAAGTGCTGGAAAGGCTGAAGTTAAGGCTGGGCTTGACTGCCGCACGGCGGTGAACCTCGGGCAGAATTCGAGTGACATAAATCACCCCAATGATAATTATGGTTATATGTTACATTATGAACTTAATTACCATTATTAGAGAGGTTCTTATTTAATTACATATTCTATATATAATTACCAATTATATCCAAAAAATAATGTATTAGACTCCAATCTTTCCAATTTTAGGCTCAAATCTTCCCCATTTTCTCTCAAATCTTCCCCATTTTCTCTCTCTTTCTCTCTTTCCTCATTTTATAATTAAAAATGAACCAACTAATAGAAAAGTACTGATATGGACTCTTTCTAAGATTAAACTACTTCTCTAATGAAAAAATAAACATCGAGACTGAACTTAAACATTAACATACTCAGATAAATCCAAGAGAGCCAATATCATGCTTAATATCACATTACTGTATATGTAAAAGGGAGGAGAAAGAAATGGACCTTAATGTAAGCTTCTATATTAATGATGAAATGTCAGCAACCTTTACAACGAACAGCTCCAAAAATAAATGATTGAAATGATAGCCATTAAAAACTTCGAAGTTTGAATTGGAAAATTTAATATTGCGAAATTGTTATTTGTTTGGATTGGGTATTGCTGCAAAAGATTGAGAATATTCTTTCAAATTTATATCGAAATTTTGAGAGAGTATGGTGAAGATTCGAGTTGATTTAGTTGGGATTTTAGATTGAAACTCGAATAGGAAGCCATAAAAAAATTGTATGTATCTTGTATGTTGTAATATATAAAATATGTACAACTAACACAATTGTATGCAAGTTGTATGCGAGTTGTATATAAATTCTATGTGTTTGATGGATTCTATACAACAAAAAAGTTATGTACAAATATAAGTTGTATGAAACTTGTATCTTTTGACGGAATTCTATACAATAAAAACTTGCATACAAGTTATATATAATGTATGTTGATCAAATTAATATATAATTTTTAAAACAAACTGTTGCTATTTTGTAAATAGTAAAAGCTAGCTAAATTTCGTAAATATGTAATGACTCAATAGGTTGTTTTGAGTTTTATCTCCCCTTTTTATGATTTGAGGCCTTTCATAGCGTGATGATTTATTAACTTCTGTGCATGGTCAGTACCAATTTCCGAAAAGTCTAAATGTGAACTTTTAAAGAAACTTGATTTTTGAACTTGAAAATAGCTAAAGTTGACCAGAGTCAACATTTTTGGTAAACAAACTCGTATTGGTGTTTTGACGATTCTGATAGGTTCGTATGATTATTTTTAACTTATACGCATATTTGGTCAGGGTCCTGTTTGACCTGAGGCCGTTTCAGCGCGTTATGTGAAAGTTAGAAATTTGAAGTATGAACTTTGCAGTTCTTGAGTTTGTTTGTTTGATCTTTGTTTTTAGATGTTATTTTGATGATTTCAACTTACAAGAGAGTTCATATGCTTTTATTACACTTGTGTGAATGCTTGGATTAGAGACCGAGGGACACGAGTGAGTTTCAGACTATTTTTGGCATAGCTGGGAATTTCTGGTGCTGTAGACCTCGCATTTGCAAGTGTCTTTTCGCAAATACGAGCCTCGCATTTGCAAAGTTGGGAAGGGACTGGACAACTTTGCATTTGTGACGTTCAGGTCGCTTTTGCGAGGTGGTCGCGTATCACAATTGCAGGACTTGGGTCGCAATTGTGACAATTGTGAATGGTGGGACAGCTTCGCTTTCGCTTTTGCAAGTCACATTTGCGACATCTTAGGGCTCAGACAGTGTTCGCATCTGCAAACGTTGCAACTGCGAACAAGAGTTAGCAACTGCGATATCTACAGCTGGGTAAAAGGTTTGAATATCGGGACTTAGCTCATTTTATCCCATTTTTGAGACCTTATAACGACACGACTGATCATTTTGAGAATCATCGTCCCATTCGGTGGATTAAGGTCTTGATTAGCTTCGTTTATGCATTTTGACTTACGTGCGT